CAGAAGTTCGATTGCCAGCCGCCGAACTAGCGGGTAAGTGTAGCCAAGGCCTAAGTGTGCAAAGTGCATAACTGTTTTATGTAATGCAAATATTTTCAACTGGCTTACAGTATCGTTTAGGAAATGAAATGCATAAAATTACTGCAAATTCCTATGAAAGTATAAACTGTGATTTCTGCTTTAGTTACAGTACCTGCCTCAGTTAACCAGCAGTAACATTTTACCAGCTTTGGATAACAAGAAGTACTATGGCAACACAAGAAAATTAAACTACCATTTCCCCAACATCTAACAAGATGGCAAGTCACTACTAAGAGAGAGCTATTTATTGTTCCGAGTGCAAGCCTTCAACAATTTCTAAAAGGAACACTTAAGGTGAAGTTACAATAGACACATAAGTGATCTCTGAAGTTAGTTTGTGGTGGGTCACCAATGGAAGGAAACCTCTGCATAGAGCTCAGAGCTGCATGCTAATCAGTATTCTATGTATAAAGGAGAACACAAGTGTTTTGTTTTTGTTTGTTTTTGTTTAGTGATTATATTGTGGTTCAGCGTTACCAAGACCCACTGCTTACAGCATGGGACTTTAATAAACCACAGTGAGTGCCTGTATTCAAGACTTGGCAGTTAAGTCACAAGCATGCCAAATAAGTTTGTTTTAGAAAGTCCCATTGTGTCAAAGCATTAAAAATAATGAAAAAATATACTAGATATTACACAGCACTAGATAGTTGAAACGCTTATGCATACGCATAATTTTATTCACATGAGCAGGCCCAACAGTAGGACTTCCTATGTGAGGAAAGTTTCTTGTGTGAGTTTGTAAGAATGGGGCTGGGAACTGTTCAGCTAATTGCAGCATTCACTCAATTGGCTGAACACGGTAAAATATATTTGTAATGTGCAAATACGGTGTTAGGAACACTAGAAAAGCCTACGGTAAACGTAATGGAATGCCCAATAGACTACAGCATTGTCACGGATGGTGGGGACAATAAAATAGATACATACTCTTTTTAGTAAAACCTTGCTGTTGCTTTAGAACAGGGATCTCAAACTCAAATCACCACGAGGGCCACATGAGGACTAGTACGTTGGCCCGAGGGCCGCATCATTGACACACACACCCCCACTGACCCCGGCCCACCCCCACTCCACCCCTTCCATGAGGCCCCGCCCCTATTCCAACCTGTTCTCCAAATCCCCGCCCCTTCTCCACCTCCTCCCCTGAGCGCATGGCTCCCCGCTCCTCCCCCTTCCCTCCTGGAAAGCGCTAAGCGCCACCAAACAGCTGTTTGGCGGCAGGAAGCGCCTAGAGGTAGGCAGAGGAGTGGGGACGCAGTGCGCTGGGAGGGATGGGGGGCGGCGGGGGAGGGGAGCTTGGCGGCCACAGGAAATAACTTGGCGGGGGCACGGGGAGCTTGGCGGGCCGCAGCAAATAACTCTGTAGGCCGCGTGTTTGAGACTCCTGCTTTAGAATATGTTTTTAGGTTTCCCCGGCCTTTCTCTTTCTGGCATTACCAAGAGATTTCACTTGTTATTTGGTCAGAACCAGAAACCGGTCACCTGTGGGTTATACTAGAAAGGAATGGGCTGGAAGGCCTCCTAAATATCTGTACTAGGATAAATCTCATTTCTTTGTGTAATCTCAGGATGTAATACTTGATTGGTTTTGAATAAAATTAATGTAGCTCACCTTTCTATTTGTGTGTCAATGTTTGATTATGGTGTACGTCATTAATAGCGGTAGTACAACCTCAGAAATATTTAACAGCTGTTTGAAGTCCAGAGAAAGTATTATTCTTTTGAATACTATCGGAGGTATAATGCAGTTCAAAAACTTGACGTTGTTTTAGTGGGGCAGATAGCCAAACACATAGTCTTGTGAGGACAGATTAACGTATTTGTTTTATATTTTAATGTTCATATAAGTGGACTAATACAGTTTTATATCATTTAATTTCAAGCATTGTCCCCTATGTATTTGCTTGGTTATGTCCTTTTTGAGGGGGGGGGGAAATATATTTCAGTGTTTTTATGTACGAATAAGTCATCCAGCCTTGCATTTTTGTGATGGAACAGAGCAATTATGCTGTACAGTTAAGTAGCATGTAGGCTGAGTGTCACATCATGGACCTGATCTTGTGAGCTGTGGATTGTACTAGAGTTCCATATTCCAAGCATGGCCACCGTCTAAACAGTAGGAATATAGGTATTGCCACAGGATCAGCCCTGAGGTCCATCTAGTCCAGAATCTTGTGTCAGATGCTTCAGAGGAAGATGTGAGATAATCTGCCCCCCACCTCATCCTGCTCTCTAATAGTCAGAGATTGGCCTAAGCCCAATAGTACAATTCTGCCTGTTTGTGGTATCTGAATCCCAAGGGAACACACAGAGCCTGATTCTGCTCTCATTTGTACTGATGAAGTATGAGTAATTCCATGAAAGTCAATAGTGACATCTGTGTATGTAAGATCAGAAACTAGGTCCACTGCTGAAACCAACTAGCTGATGCTAGATGGGTCCTAAGGCTCCCTCACCAGCGCTCTTGTAAGTAGATGGAATTGTTGGTACACTTCACCTCACAGTAGATTACTGAGACACTTCCACTTGCGTCTTCTTGTAAGCGTTTTAGGCTGTTGCTTTCCATAACAGAGTCTCTCTAATTTCCCCTAATCTCTATACATCACTTAATTAAACCCCAAGGCCAGTTCCAGTAGAAAAGCCCACTCACTGGTACGGAAAAAGCTAAAGCGCAGAGACTAAAACTATCTCCTGCCAGCGGTGGATTCTACGAGAGCAGCAGCTGTAGGGGGATACGTGATAGCCTGTTTAAAAAAATTACATTGATTATATATTTTCCTCAAAGCTTCCCCTTCCCATTCAGCGCTCCTTTGTGGCCATATTTCTTCCCGAAGAGCCTTCTAGTTGAGTAGCAGAGTTCACTAATAATTCCAGCACTGGGTGTCTCTATTATTATTTATGCAGAGTATCACCATACCACTAATTTAACCATTCATTCCTTTATTAAATCCAAAGGCCAAATGGTATTTATACAATTGCTCTAAACATGCCTAAAGCCTAAATCGTAAGCAATTTACTATATCCAGACAGTAACACAATACTTATCATTTGATCAGGATACTTACAAATGGGCTAAACCCCATCTTGGTCAGCTCCAGCGTGGTCAGCCAATGAACCTTTTCAGAGTTTACTTTTGATGCTCTTTAACAACCAAGTGATGTCATGGCCAAGTACTGACTTTAGCTAAAAACCAATTTGAGACCATTCATCCTTAATTCCAGCCTTAACACAGATCAGACTGTATTTCTCCCCAAGGCCTTTCCTCCCTCTCTCTGCCCCTCCTCCTTGCTGACCAACAGTATTTCTTTTGCATCTGGGTTCACACAGGCCCTAATTTTTGAGATGACACTGATATGTGGGGTAGGAAGGCCTATGCTGGATCATTTTAAGACCGATTCTCTGTCTTATTTAAAACCATCCCCAGTCATCCCTGTTGGTCAGAGGCCTTTTTAGAAATCTTTCCTTATGTTTTAGTTATTCTTTGAACCAGACATCCTCCCTACTTCATTCCTTCTAGCCTTATAATTCATTATTTCCAAGGCCTTCCTTCGACTTACTAGTCAGGGCTGTTCTTTAAGCTAACTTTAATCCTTTCATTTCATATTTATCCTACAATAAATACCAGCTCAGTTTACTGTCCCCAAATTGCTGAGCATATATATACCCTCCAAGATACAGGTCAGTGAGTCTTTCAGAATGGACAGGTTGTTTAAATGGGACAAATAAGGGATGTTCTCCATTCTGCTCTGCATTACCTCTGAGGGAGAAACGATTTAAAGGAGAGAGAAAGAGCAACAGGTACAATCCATAATAGATTCCCAGAGTGGAAGAGAGAAAAAGAAACATTCAGGGCTGCCATGAAGGAGACTGAATAGAGGTTTTCACTCTCCCCTTCTGGGAACTCTCAACACACAACTGTGGAGTTAGCAAGAACCTTGTTTCCTTGTCCTGGCAATTCCCTGCAAGCCCTTCTTTGCCCTATCACAGAAGCCTGGAAGGGGTTCATAAAAGCACTATAACCCTTTTGAAGATAGACCACCTCTCTCAACTTGGCAGAAGTATAAAATATTCGTTACTAATTACGTTATTTCCTTAAGTGCACCCAAACCTGTTTGGGGGTAGGTTAGGGTGACCAGATGTCCCGATTTTATAGGGACAGTCCTGATTTTGAGGTCCCTTATATAGGTTCCTATTACCTCCCACCCCGTCCCGATTTTTCACACTTGCTCTCTGGTCACCCTAGGGGTAGGTACAAGACCTAATTCAGCCCAAAGTAGTTTAAAGCAATAGTCTGTGCAAGGGCATCCACCAGAAAACCTGCTTCTTCATGGGAAAAAAGTGCTCGGCCTACCAGCTGCAGTTCCTTGGAAAAGTTATAGAGCCTGTCTTTGAAAAAACTACCCCTAATTTCTTTCCATTTGGATTTGACTTAAATTGGTTTTCAAGAGTGTTTATTAAAACTTCATCATACACATTTGGTAACATTCCCAAACAGACCGTGCATTTAGACAGCAGGTGAAACTTGACAAATATTCAGTACAGCTGTATCCTGTCTAGTTCTTCAGCCATACTCAATCTCTTTTCCATACTCATCTGGTAGACAGAGGCACATTTAAAAACAGCTATTGTAATTGTATACATGGGTGCAAGGAAGAGTATTTGGTTTTTACTTATTTCCCCTGCTAGTAGACAGAATTCTTTATCTTCTTACAACCACTCCAAAACATACAAGTGTTTACAGAATTGCATTCGCTATAGTTAAGTGAAGCACAAATTAAGTTCAACGACATTTCACTGAGATTGATTTTTTTTTAAATACCTTCAAAGCCATGGATGAGAGATCTTCTTCCATGAGGAAATATAAGTAGTGACAACTGTATAACCCATATAGTTTAAGGATAATGAATATTATGAAATAAGACCTCAGAATTACGTAAAGATGCCTTTATTCTAAATCTAATTCCAGCTCCAGTGATGGCATTGATTTCTTAAGGATTTGAATAGTAGTTTCTTTCTCACTTATCCCAGGAAGGTCACTCAGAAATAAATATTCAAGGTTCCTATAAATATATAAAAAGTCAGTCAGTGGCTACTTTACAAGACAGTGTGATTAATTTCAAAAGCACAGATACTTTCACCCTTAAATTAATTATACATATGAAGAGACTCTGGGGGCTGTAGGTGTTTCAAAGAATTTTTAATAGGGAGCCAATATTTTCACAATTGGTTGCCTAAAGTTTTCAGAGCTTAGTAGTTTCAAGCTTCCATTGATTCATTTCTTAAAGTGTGCAAGGTGCTTTGCTGACAAAACTGAAGACAAGCTCCCTGCCCCACATACCATCCTGCTCTTTTTACATTACTTTTTATTACTATCAGAAGTCCTCCTAGTAACTTACTAAGGCCGTGAAAGCCAAACTGGTGCCTCTTCACCATTAGCAAGGAGTTTGTCAATGTTTATACTCCTGTATAATAATCAGAGTATAGTGCTGCTTGAAGTGCTCTGTTGAATCCCTCCCATGCAGGGATTAAAAAACAAACAAGGCCTCAATCCCAAAGACTTTAGGAGCTACCTCAGACACAGCTAAAGCAAAGTGGTTGAAGTAAACAAAGATAATTGGAGGTGCGGTGAATTGTAAATGCCAGGGTTGGTTTTGTTTTACGTTGAGGAGAAAGGGATGGGGTGCTCACTGGCAGAAAGCAAGGTGAAAGTGGGTTGTTAGTTCCTAAGCAAGCCTCCCAGGTATGTCTACACTGCAATAAAAGACCCATGGCTGGCCCGGGTCAGCTGACTCAGGCTCACGGAGCTCCGGCTGTAGGGCTATAGAATTATAGTGTAGACACTGGCGCCGGAGCCCTGGCTTTGGGACCCTCCCCACTCACAGGGTCTCACAGTCCGAGCTACAGCCCAAGCATCTACGCTGCAATTGTGCAGTGTAGCACAGACATATCCTAACATAGTAGTCCAAAGGTGGCAGGTAAATGTACTAATCCACTGCACTTGCAGAGACAAAGCCTGAGCACAGGGACTGCATGATCTGCTGTAATCTGTTGAGCAACCAACATTTCTGAATCTCACCTACAAATGGGGACATGAAAAAAGGTTAATTACGAGGACATGATTCAGCTGTGGATTCACATACTCTTAGGCTTCCTACTTTCAGCACTATAGCCTACAGTTAGTTCTACTTACTGAATTGTTGTTAGGTTAATGGGTTTGTTAGATTTTTGTGTGTTAATTCAGACTGCTAAAACTGATTTCTCAGAACAGCCCACACCGTTTTTGCTTTCATTGTACATCAAAGACTATTGAAATCTAATGTAAACAAAAAAAATGAATTTCAGTGATCCAATACTATTCTAAACATACAAATATGGCAAGAGCTAGAAAAGTCATGTTCTACAAGACATTCCCTCAATGGCTCACGTTAGTTTGTGGAGTGCTACGATGCCTTTATCTGTGACATTCCCACAGGAAATTATCATCAGTCGCAGGAGACTTTTCTGTAAACTCTCAGTCTCACTGATCCTCTGCAGACATTCATCCTGGATATAAATACAGTTGCTCAGCTTAATTTCCTCAACGTGTTTGAGACCATCTGGAAAAGAGAAAAATCATAATACAAGGAGCAAACTGTACGAGATGCCGCCAACAGGTTTGCAGTTCTTATTCTCATGCTTCCATAAACCGGTGGCAACAGATGCCTGCATATGGAAGAGCCATAATGCATCATGAATTATTGTACTATACTCTGCAGCGATCCCATTGTTGGCTTCACAATCACAAAAGCATGACTAAGGTTCTAAGGGCTTTTTATACGGAAGTAGGCAAATGCCAGAAAATCAGCATGCCCAGCATGACCGATAAGTGCTGAACTAACAATACAATTATGCAAGAAATTTACGATGATTTGCAAAGAAAAAAAAGAGTGTGTGTCCCATTTTTGTTCTTTGTTGTGTAAAAGACGACTGAAAGGCAACAGCTTTTTAAAACTTCTGTTTTTTAAATTAGAAATTCAGATCTTGCTTATCTGGCTTTTCCTGGAAATGACTACGGCTTCACAAATAGCAAAAATGGACACATGATTTAGAGTAAGTCTTTTTTATTCAGAATATTTAAAACCCTGGTTTGCATTAATGCATATTGAACTATGAACTTATTTAACTAATAAATCTTTGTTCCAATTGTTTAATGCTCTTCCCTCTTCAAGTAGTGGCTGACAAAGTTCCCAATCCATCTGTATCCTAAAAAGAAACCTCCAGCAAAAACAGAGGTACAAATCTGATATTTCTCAATTAAAACACAAACATTTTTCTTTTAAAAATCAAGCCTTCTCTGTGAGTCACAAAGAAACAAAAAAAGACACAACTGCTCAGTCTTTGATGCAAATGGATGAATTTTAAGGACAATATATAATTTGTAAAGCTGTGTCTTGGTTACCCAAATAATCAAATCCTCGGTACATGATGCAGGACTCTGTGGCATCGATTGCTTGTATCTTGTATTTTCCCAGAGGCCCGGTTGGGAGACCATTGTAGTCATGCTGCCATTTATCATAGCCTTGGAAACGAACCAGTGCCCCACAACGCAGAAGCCATTCCGAAGCGGCTCTATCAGGGCCAACAGCCTGTATACGTTCATAGTCTACCCTGTCAACATAGAACAAACATTTAGATCTCCCTATACCAACATACAGCTTTATCACATTTGCAGCCCTGTTACTGCACAATAAATATTTTGAAGTGTCTGATGAAAGGAAAGGAGAAAGATAGGATCGAGTCCCAGGGCAGTGCTTTGCACCAACTTATTAAGTCTGCACTATTTAAAACAAAAATCTGGTAACGTGTTAATTTATATTTTAAATTAAAATTAAATGTTGGTAATGTAATGAAGAAAGACATTGCTAGCTGATTTGTCACTTGTATTTCTCTCTAATCCTCTCCTTCTGTCTGTGCTCAGCATTCTACCTCTGCCAACCCCATGCACTCATTAAGCTCACGTTGCCCTACCTTATTAATTCAAAACTACTTGGTAGGCATGAAAATGCTACACAAAGTATTGCAAAAGCATGAAACAGACAGAGACGTCTGTATGCAGGCGATATCCAGCATCTGCCCAGGATGAGGCTTTACAACAGTATTTGGGATTTTGCCTCCTGAGTCAGTTTTGATTCCATCATAGATGGCTACATACATGCAATTCCTGACATCTCTTTTGTCAAGGTTTAATAGTACTACAAAGGGACACACCCCAGGAATTAGTTAAAATCCTGGGATCTATTCTATGAGGATGCTTCTTAAGACTTGGTGGAGAATGCTGAAGAAGACTGAATGCAGATTATGAATGTCTGACATTTGTTATTGATAGAGAAATAATTAAATTTTAACTTTTTTAAAAACAGAAAAACCTGTTAGTGCAACTAAATTACATTAGGAAGGATAATTCTTTAGAGTGTCTTCTGAATACATAAAGGAAATGTAGAATGCTAGAGCCAGAATTTAAATGCTAATGGAATCAAGGCCAAAGGAAGATGGGGATTTAGGAAGCTAAAATTTAAATTCTAACTAGTCTCAACCAAGGTAAATAAAATTACCCCACAGCATACTGATTAAAGCACACACTTTCCTTTGTAAATCAGTGATTTTATTACTGGAACATGTAAGAAACAACCACTGTCTGACAACAGAATACTGTTTGAAAAGAAAAAACATTTTTAATAGAAAAAGCTCTCTCCTGTTCTTCTGTGACTTGTAACTAGCTACTGTTGCTTATGCATTAACTGAATAACCACGCTACACAGTGATGTGCATCAGAGCTTTTAACTAGCACATGAACTATTACATACATCTGTTTTCCTTACTTGTTAAAAACTGCATTCAGCCATCCCCAGAAGTGCCTGCGTGGACCTGGGGTTGATAGTTTCTTTAAGCTGAGCACTGGTTGTATGAAATTTCCCAACAGCATCATAGAACTGAAAGAGAGGTTTACTGAAATGTCAGTTTGGTGCCTCTGTCCTCTTGCCACTAGTCACGTACAAAGGAAACATATATTACAGGTATTTTGTTTTGTTTAAATAACACTATGTCACTTAATTGAAGGATATTTTTAACTTTTTAGCGATTACAGATATGAATGTATGTCATCAGAAGCATCCCACTGACTGGCAGCCTGAAAAATGCTGAAGTGCTAAGAAAAATGCCATAGTTAAATCCGCAACTTGGAATCAAAGATCAGTTCTGTTTTCAAATTTTAAACAGATAGCATCAGCACTCAAATGTAAATAAATGCTAAGTCGTTTATATTCACAGTGACACCGCCTGCTGTTGATCTGATTTTAGTCAGGCCACACCAGTAAGAAGGGCTGGTGCAGGTTGGAGACGTCTCCTAAATGGGAGCTCTAGCCAAATCATATCCTCTCAGGATCCCGCAGCAGAGCAGGGGTGGCCAACCTGTGGCTCCAGAGCCATATGTAGCTCTTCAGAAGTTAATATGCGGCTCCTTGTATAGGCACTGACCCAGGACTGGAGCTACAGGCACCAACTTTCCAATGTGCTAGGGGTGCTCACTACTCAAACCCTGGCTGCGCCACAGGCCCTACCATCTCTCCACCCCCTCCCCTGAGCCTGCCATGCCTTTGCGCCTCCCCCCAGAGCTTCCTGCACACCACGAAACAGAGGGAGGGACAGGCACTGACTGGCAGGGCTACCGGTGGGCAGAAGGACCTGGGGGAGGGGAGCAGATGGGGGGCTGCTGATGTATTACTGTGGCTCTTAGGCAATGTACATTGGTAAATTTTGGCTCCTTCTCTGGCTCAGGTTGGCCACCCATGGGGCTAGAGACTTTAAGGTCAGAAGGGACCACCCTGATCATCAAGGGTGGCTCTATGTATTTTGCCGCCCCAAGCACGGCAGTCAGGCGGCCTTCAGCAGCATGCCTGCGGGAGGTCCGCCGGTCCCACGCCTTCGGCGTATCCACCGCCGAAACCGCGGGCCCGGCAGACCTCCCGCAGGCGTGCCGCCGAAGGCAGCCTGACTGCCGCCCTCACGGCGACCGGCAGCCACCCCCAGCGGCTTGCCGCCCCAGGCACGCGCTCGGTGCGCCGGTGCCAGGAGCCGCCCCTGCTGATCATCTAGTCTGGCCTCCTGCACCTCGCAGGCCACAGCCCCTGGGCCACCCGCTCCTGTCACAGACCCAGCGCCTCTGTGAGCCTCCCACGTCTTCGAGTCTGGGGGTAAAGGCTCTGGCAGGAGGCAGGTCGGCCGCCGGCCCGGCGGGGCCCTGGCTAGTGTTGGGGCCCGCTAAGCCGCCGGGGGGAGGGAGGCCCGGCCCCGGCCAGGCCACGGGCTGCCCTGCGCTCACCCGGGCAGCGCACAGGCCTCCCGCCCCGCTGAGGCGGCGCAGGCCCGGCCCGGCCCGACCCGGCCCCGGGGGCGAAGCCCAGGCGACCCCCCCATGGCTAGCGGGGAGCAGCCCGGCGCGGCGCCCCTGGGCCCGCTCTGACAGCCGGGGAGCGGCCGGCGTGACTCCTCCTCTCGCGGCGGTGGGAGGAGCGGGGCGGGTTCGGGTTCGGGCTCCGAGAGCCGCCGCCGGGACGAGCCCAGGATGCCGCCGCTGCTGCTGCGGGCGGGCCGCGCCTGGGGCCGGCTGGGCCTGCCCGGGCTGTGCCGGGCCCTGGGGCACCAGCGCCGCCGCAGTAGGTGAGGCCGCCGGGGTAGGGCCCTTCCCGCGGGAGCGGCGGGGACGGAGCCCGGCCCGGCCCGGCGCTAACCTGGCGGGAGGGAATTAGAACCAGGCCCCGTGTGGACGCGCCGACTTCGGAGTAGACGGAGCCGAAGTGGATTCGGTCACTGTTGGCCCGACCCAGGCGAGCCTGCTGGGGGGCGGCGCCCGCGAAGCCGAGCTGGCTCCAGTTCGCCCGCTGGCCGTGTGGGGGCTGGCGGGACGGGGACGGTGGAAGTCAGGGCTGGGGCCTGCCTGCCGCTGCTGCTCCCCTTCGCCCCGGGGCAGAGGTCGGCGGTGTGCTTGTGAGCTTGCTCCCTCCGCGGCTCCCAACGCTTCTCCCAGGCCAGGGAAATCGTTTGAGACTTAAGTTTCCTTCTACTTGAAAGATCTGCGGCTGGTGTGTTTTAGCCACTGTGTTGCCTGTGCAATGCTAATAGGGTGACCAGATGTCCCAGTTTTATAGGCACAGTCCTGATTTTGGGGTCTTTTTCTTATATTGGATCCTATTACCCGCACCCCCCTGTCCCGATTTTTCACACTTGCTGTCTGGTCACCCTGAATGCTAATAACACTTGGAGGACTGGTAGAGCACAGCTCACCTGAGCACTTACTCACCTAGGGCCCAATCTTGCAAAAAAAAACTAAGCATATGGTTAACTGTACCCAGTGTGAGTGGTCCCGCTGATTTAATGGGGTTGTTACCGGGAGGGCATAAATAGGCACATGCATGAATTTTTGCAGAATTGGGACCTCAGAGCACTTGTTGGCCTAACACTAGTGAAATAAACCAAAATACTTTGATTCCCCTGAAAGAATTAATGGGTCAGGAATGTTGAGCGCACAACAATCTGGGAATCTCAAAAACGGAAACTAGTGTCACTTAAAAAATAAGTGTCACTGCAAGTTGGTGTCACAGTTTGACCCAGTCCCCTTCTCTGGACAGACTCGAGTTTGCGAGTTGACCCACTGGCTGGATCCTATGTGCAGTTGCAGACATCATTTCTGCACCTCTTCCTTGGGACAAGAGGCTCTGCAGCCTAGCTGCTTTAGACCTCTGAATCAGTATCACAGCCCCCTGAACCCCCAGTTGCTTACACACATCTTATGAGTTCCACCTTGCTCTGGGTGCACTGAGCTTCTTGATTAACTGGAACAATGTGGCAGGCAACCAATGAATGCAAGTTTAGCAAAGTAATGTATTAATTATAGGCACTGTACTCGAAACAGCATAGAGTTACAGATCTTTGAAGAAACCACAAACAGTCCTGAGATTATTCCTTTCCCCCACTTTAGTCTGATCCTTCCCCTTCTGTGAGCCTGAGGCCTGGTCAGCATCCTTAGGCTAAGGAGACTCCTTGCTTTTCGTCTCTCTCTGGACAGGTTTCTTGGCATATGGCAGTGGACACAGACAGCCTCCTTGCTCAGAGTCACCCCTTCTTAACTTCAGACGCTGGCTCCTTTGGTCATGTAGCTAGCAAAAGAAACTGCAGATCTCCCAGCCATTTGCTATAGGTTGAGTAACTCCAGTCCCTGCTCCCAGCCAGGCTACTGCGTAGAAAGTTCATCGTTATTGCAGGGGATCGGGAATACCTGGAGTTGATGGCTCTAGATTACTCTGTTACAGCTAGAGCACTGCAAATCCACCGATACCTGCTTTATATCCACATCTGCAGATATCCGTGGACCATTTTTGTGGATCACAGATGGATGCGGATACAAATTTTGTATCCACGCAGGGCTCTAGTCATAGCTTCTCAGACACGGTCATTCCATTAGATATCAAGTCTGTATTACAAAATTGTTATGTTCACAGCAAGCACCCAGAAATGAGATAGAAAACATTAATACTCTTGCTAGAAGGTTGCAATGTAAAACTACTTTTTCTTAGAATTCAGAACAAGTAACACACAAGAACCCCAAAACACACAGAGCGAAAACCAACTGCTCTCTAAGGGCTTGTCTTCACTACCCGCCCGGATCGGCGGGTAGAAATCGATCTCTTGGGGATCGATTTATCGCGTCTCGTCAGGACGCGATAATCGATCCCCGAATCGACGCGCATACTCCACCAGCCCAGGTAGGAGTAAGCGCCGTTAACGGGGGAGCCGCAGTGGTCGATTTGCCGCCGTCCTCACAGCGGGGTAAGTCGGATCAGATACGTCGAATTCAGCTACGCTATTCCCGTAGCTGAATTTGCATATCTGAAATCGATCCCGCCCCATAGTGTAGACGTAGCCTAAGTCACTGAGACACAGCTCACCCCACCTGGCTCTTTCCAGGTTGTCTGTCTGCTGTGCTCATGCTCTGCCACAGAGCCATGCAGGCTCTGGGCTGCAAGCTGGATTCAGAAACCCTCCCCACTCTTAAATTGATAGCTTGCAATTCCAACGCAGTCCTCAGTACACCACATTCTAATCCACAATGTGGATTGCAATATAACATGAAGGTTACAATACAAAGTGGCGACTCTGCATCAAAATGATGTTCTCAGAATAAATGGGGTAACAATTTGATACAGGTATATCTCACTCTATCATAGTCACATAGTAGGATTTTACTGTAGAGTAATACCTACTGTTGATCCATGGACATGCAATATTGAAACACGAAACATTTTTACGTCCCAGTGTCCATATCTTGAAGTTAGATCTGAATTTAGACTCATCCTTGTTTCATGTGAGGCACTGTTCACATTGTATGTATTTCAGTAACGAGGGCCACCAGCCCAGAGGCAGCAGGAGAAAGCCTTCCATTTAATCCCATAATGCATTTACGTTAGCTGCTGAAAGGACTGTGTCCATAGTCTTCTCCCCGAAATTTGTAAGATAAAGGTACTCATGCTCCACTATGCAAATATCCAGACACTGTCTCAGTTTTTAAGTTACTTTTCAAATAGTCTTCCTCAGAACCCCCAGGTGCCTCCATGTGAACACAGGAAGTGTCTTTGCCTAGGGAGGAAATGGATCCTGTGGTGATGCGCAGCAGTGAGCTCCATAGCATCTCAGGAGACAGACTTTTCAAATAAAATAAAAATACATTGAACGAAGTTATTTTCATCTTGGCTAACCTCAGATACCATTTGTTTTCCTGTTTCTAATGTGGTAGATTCCAACAGGGCATTATTTATCTGTTGAATGGCTTTGTCAGTGCCAGCAGGTATGTTTGTGGCTGTGGGAATGGTGTTTATTATTCAACTGTTGCTCCAAAGTAAGTACAGAAGCACAAAACCTGTTTGTATGGGTCCTACAAAACTAGTAGCTTGGGTTGGGATTTTTTACAATTTTTTGACAACTGAGTGGATTTTGAAAAAGAAAAGTAGGTTTTTTTAGAATGAGGTCTATTCCCACCAGAGTACTGTATCCCCTTTACAGTACGTCAATTTTTTGCTTAAATCACATTATCCTGTGTGCGCCGCTTAAGTGCTGATTCATAGATTTCAAGCCAAAGGAGACCATCTTGGTCCTCATAGAATCATAGAATATAGAATATCAGGGTTGGAAGGGACCTCAGGAGGTCATCTAATCCAACCCCCTGCTCAAAGCAGGACCAATTCCCAACTAAATCATCCCAGCCAGGGCTTTGTCAAGCCGGGCCTTAAAAACCTCCAAGGAAGGAGATTCCACCACCTCCCTAGGTAACGCATTCCAGTGCTTCACCTCCCTCCTAGTGAAATAGTGTTTCCTAATATCCAACCTAAACCTCCCCCACTGCAACTTGAGACCATTGCTCCTTGTTTTGTCATCTGCCACCACTGAGAACAGCCGAGCTCCATCCTCTTTGGAACCCTCCTTCAGGTAGTTGAAGGCTGCTATCAAATCCCCCCTCATTCTTCTCTTCTGGAGACTAAACAATCCCAGTTCCCTCAGCCTCTCCTCATAAGTCATGTGCTCCAGACCCCTAATCATTTTTGTTGCCCTCCGCTGGACTCTTTCCAATTTTTCCATGTCCTTCTTGTAGTGTGGGGCCCAAAACTGGATACAGTATTCCAGATGAGGCCTCACCAATGTCTAATAGAGGGGAATGATCACGTCCCTCGATCTGCTGGCAATGCCCCTTACTTATACAGCCCAAAATGCCATTAGCCTTCTTGGCAACAAGGGCACACTGTTGACTCATATCCAGCTCCTCGTCCACTGTAACCCCTAGGTCCTTCTCTGCAGAACTGCTGCCTAGCCATTCGGTCCCTAGTCTTTAGCAGTGCATGGGATTCTTCCGTCCTAAATGCAGGACTCTGCACTTGTCCTTGTTGAACCTCATCAGATTTCTTTTGGCCCAATCCTCTAATTTGTCTAGGTCCCTCTGTATCCGATCCCTACCCTCCAGCATATCTACCACTCCTCCCAGTTTAGTGTCATCTGCAAACTTGCTGAGGGTGCAGTCCACGCCATCCTCCAGATCACTGAGTGATTTCGCGCCAGTAATGTGTTGGATGGAAACTTCTATTTTCATTGGCTTTGGGGAACGTGAAGTTTGTTTGTTTTTCTTCACTGAACTATACATTTTCTCTGTGTATTCTGTCTCCCTTCAACTCCCTGGTCTTCCTTGCACAAAATTTCCAGCTTCACTTCCAGGTGGGTTTTTTTCTTTTATTTTAAACACACCCCTCTTTCCTCCCAACCTTCCGCACCTTTCCTCAGCATAAACAAGCAGGTCACTCAAAGGTAAATCAGTGGATGACTTAGTCAGCTGGCTTCTTGTCTGGATTTCAGAAGAAGTGGGTTTTCAAGGGGTTCAAAATTCATTTGCTAAAATGCAGCTTCTTTCCGTGTAAATGTGAAGCATGTTGCTAGAGAGCTCTTACAAGATGCCCTTTTTTTTCCTAAATAGCACTTTTGATGTGGTTGTTGTCGGCGGTGGAATTGTGGGGCTTGCGTCTGCCAGAGAGCTCATTCTGCGACACCCATCGCTCACGTTCAGTGTGCTGGAAAAGGAGAAGGAGCTAGGTATGATATCCATGTTATCCATGATATCCACTGTATCAGAGAGTGACAAGTTTGCATTTTCTTCCCTTGCTTATTTCTGGTTTCCTGGTGTCAGTCTGTAAGATATTTTAATTAAAAACACATACACACTAAAATAGCAATGTTAAGGGTATTGAATTGAGAAAAAAATAACAAAAAAATGGGAGGCTCTTTTAATGAGGGGGAAACAGTATCTATCTGCCCATCTATCTGAAATGAATGAAGGGTTCCCCTTTGGAATAATTTCACAGTGCAGTCCTGTCAAGGGACTATGCAAACATAGGGAGGAAGAGCATAATAGCTCCCTTGGATGAGTCTTTGGCCTTCTCTTGACTGGTGATTTGCCCC